TTGTTTCAAGAATTAAAAATTTTGTAAAATTAAAGGCACAAAATATGCTTCCAAATTTATTAATTGTGTAACAAAGATACATCTAACATTTCAATTATATTATATATGATAAGTGTTGATACAAAAATCATTATATATACAAAATTAGGGTTAAAAGCTACAAGAAAATGCCATATGTTCTTTTTTAAATTTGATGCAAATTGTGCTTTAGAATGTCTTTCTTACAATTTTATGCTCCAAAATTAGATTTGGTGTTAGATTTGGTATTTTTTATTACTTTTTAATGTATATAAAATATAATTATTCAGGTTTGGAGTTAAATGTGGGATGAATTATTAATTTTTAGATGTATATAAAATTATTTTTTCATATTTAAAATTCAAATATGATCATTTAAAAAGGAGTAATCAATATGAAAATGTCTATTTATTTGAATTCAAATTAATATCTATTTATTTAAAAATTTAGGGAAAAAATCTGTGTTTAAAATTTCTGATCTATCTTGATGAGTTTCCAAAATTTCAATCTATCTTAAAAATATTCCTAAAATTAAGCATCATATAATTGAGTGTGTGTGTGTGTGTATATATATATATTTGAATTAAAATTAAAATATTTCTATTCAAAAATTTTAGAAAAAATGATTCTATATTTAAATATTTAGATCTATTTTCATGATTTTAAAAAATTTTCATCATATAATAAAGTATAGATATCTATTTATTTAAATTCAAATTAGTATCTATCTATCTAAATATTTAAAAAATGATTATAAACTTTACTAAGTCTATCTATTTCGATTGTAAATATATAGAAAATAGAATTAAAACAATACTGGAGATTCAACTCTTGGTGAATGGATTTACTGTAATAAAATATTTATTAATTTAACTTTTAAAAAAATTGGTTTTGAAAATGAGTAGTGCCTTTTGGCCAAAAAAAGAAAAGAGTAGTACATATTATTTATAATTAAGGGAAAAAATAGAAGTGCTTGATATCTTTAAAAAAAAACTACTTGGTTCTAATTAAATTGGTATCAATGAAATTTAAAATTTCAAATGATTAAAAATATTAATGATAACAATTAATTAGCTTCAATAAAAGAAACAAAAAAATAGTTAGAATATAAATCATGAGTTTAAAAACACATTATAAATAGTTAAAATTCATGAAATTTTAAATGATAAATTTAATAATGATTATTTATGCTAAATATAATTCAAATTTTTGAAGATATACTGACTTGTATTTCAAAGCTTGATTCTATTTTGAATTTTGAAGTTTAAAATTTAAATTTAAATTTATATTTAAATCTTATCTAAATTTAAATTTCCCTCCAATGTTTATACTACACCAATTATAAATAGATGTGTTTAGCTACAATTTCATTCTGCACCTCCAACTTTAATTAACTCATGTATCATCCATGATGATAAGTCTATTTTGTAGGTAATGATATTAAAATTATCTTTCAATTCATCATCATGTATTTACATAGTTAATGTTTAGTTACTTTCTCTTTCATTTATCTATAATAAATCTACCTTAATGTTTCACTTCAATATGTCATTTACAACTAGGTTTCATATTGTTCCACTACTCCAAAAAAGCATTTCTACTACCCTAATTTACATCCCATTTTAAAAGTTAGACTTAGAAAGAACACAATCCACATCACCCAAGTAAAAAGAGGACATAGATTGAAAAAAAATTATTTTAACAAAACAATTTTAATAAGCCACATCTCCTTAATTCTTGGGGGGACGTGGCTTTATCAGAGTACTTCAGAATCCACATCCCTCCTTGAGGAGAGGGAAGTGGCTTGTGAAAGGGGGACGTGGCTTCTAATAGAGCCAGTTGACTGCTGCAGAAGCCACGTCCCCTTCTCCAGGGGGAAGTGGCTTGTGAAGAAGCCACGTCCCCCTTGAAGAGGGGGACGTGGCTTCTAATAAAGCCAGCTGACTTCTGCAGAAGCCACCTCCCTTTCTCCAGGGGACGTGGTTTCTGCAGAAGCCACGTCCCCCTTGAAGAGGGGGACGTAGCTTCATGTAGAAGCCACGTCCCTCTCCTCTCTGGGGGACGTGGCTTCTTAAGAAGCCATATCCCCCACAGAGGAAGCCAAGTCCCCCAGAGAGGAGAGGGATGTAGATTCTCAAATCCACGTCTCTCTCCTATCTGAAGGACATGTATTCTCCTTCCCACTCAATTTTTAAGCCCCACGCCAGTCAAGTTTTTTAAAAAAACACTCAAAGTCTGCTGTGCCTACCTTCATCTCCAATCAGATATCATCTTTCTACTTCTCGGTCTCAGCCAAGCTTCTTCATCTAGTCTTTCTACTACTCAACCAAGCTTCTCAGTCTCATCTTTCTGCTGGCTCTGTGATTATCTCTCTCAACTTCTCATTTGCTCTCAATCTCATCTTACTGATCGCCTCTCGGTGCTTCTCAACTTCTCAGCCAGCAGGAACAATTGCTCTACTTCTCGGTGCTTCTCATTTCTCACCAAAATTTTGGTTAGTGCTTCTCATGAATTTTCTAGCTAACCTGCCGTTCTGTTTTGTTAGAAAAGGAAGTTTGTAGGATAATCAGATTTTTCAAATTTCCTTCATTTGCTTTTAAATCGTGAGTATCAATAGAATTTCATCCCTGTATAGATATTATTATTCAAGCTTAACTTGGACATCTTTATGCCTGCATTCATATGTGTGTGTGTGTGTGTGTGTATTTTGGTTTCATTTTCTACCATAAGCTAGAAAATGGTCTCCCTTCGTTATTGGGATTTGTCTGCAAGTGAAACCAAATATATGCATGATTGTGTGCTTTAATGGTTTGCTTTAATAGATCTGTCACATGTTTAAATATCAAATTAACTTTAGATTATCTTAACATAAAAAACAAAAACATGGAAAGATTAGGAAATGCTTTAGATAGAAACAAGAGAAAGGAATGGTCCCAACTCTGTATACCAGCTACTGATAATACAATGATCCAGAAACTTAAAAGAGAGAAACGTAACTAACAACAAATGAAAAAAAATAAAGTTTGGTGTGACCCAAGCCAACCCAAGTGAGGAAAAAAAATAATAGCTTGGTCTTTAAATAAATAGGAACCAACTGGGCATGTACTTCACGGATTCGAGGTTTGATTGAGGGTTACGTGGATGGTAGCCATATCAAATCACAAAATAAAGGTTATATCAAGATAATATTATTTGCATAAAAAATAAATTAAAAAAACTTAAATAATAATACCCTCAAATTACGTGAATTTTAATTCATTTCAAGGTGTGTAGACCCTAGGATTGTCTTTGAAGTAAAGTCTTCCCATATAAATAAATCATTTACTTTCATTAATTTTTATTTATTTATTATTATTTGCATGTGATTATAACAAAAAATTAAAGTATAGAAAAGGTTAATTTAATCTTATGCAATAAATGGGTGTTGTGAGTGTCTGACATTTTCTTCATATATAATCAATTTCTCAAACTCTTTTGCAGATCATTATAATTTTGTTTTAATGATTTTCTAAGGTTCGTTGAAAACTTTGGGCACTTTTATTTCCGTCGTTTATTGATTTCCCTCTCGAATTAATAATGATGAGCTAGTTTTAAGCACATAACAACGTGTCCAATACCTTTATAAGATCCAAATGGCATGAACCACATAAATATTCTTGCTATAGTGAGAATACACACTCATGCCTATATTCTTTCTAGTTTTTACGATGACAAATTTTGAAAATATTGTTTTATCTTTAATATACAAGAAAGTTAAAGTAATTAATATCTTTTTAAATTTTAACCCTCGCTTATTTATTATGATTTAATATTAGAAAGAAGAGTAAAATTAAAAAATATATAATTTTAATAATTTTAATGATATAACTATCATTTTTTAATGAATGTGAAATTGACTAAATTTGCCTTACTTATATTAAGCACGGGAAAGAATACATTTGTAGCCTACATTGAACTTTCTTTCTTTCTTTTCTCTTATATGAATCATTGTTTTTATTTTTACTTTCACTATTTTTCATACAATTATGTGTCAACAAGACAAAACAGGACCTTTTACACACTCCTCTCACGTAATGTTTAATATCTGTACTCTCCAGTGACATTCAAACCTAATTAGAGATAACCTTTCAAAGATATATTATGTATTCACACAAATTTAAATTCAAAATTGTATATTTAAGCGTCTATTAGAATTCACATATTATTATTCAAGCTTAACTTGGATATTATTTAATATGTAAATATTTTATTCAATTGCTTGTTTTTGATTTTATTTATTTTTGGTTGTTATAATTTTAGGATGTTCAATCTTTAAGGGGAGACTCTGTCGATTTTTTTTAAAAAAAAATGAGTCTGATTGAAGTACAAGTAAGATAGTGAATTGTTAATTTGATAGATTTTGTGATGATTTATTAGGTAAAAAAAGAATGGATCGTAGTTGGATGAATGCTAGTAAAATGACTGAGGAGTATGAGAATGGTATGGACCAATTTCTTGAATTTGCTAGGAAAAATGTTCCTAGCAAAAATGGAAAGTATTGTTGTCCTTGTGTCAACTGCATGAATAAGATTAAATTGGGTATTGATGAAATAAAAGAGCATTTAATTTGTGATGGGATAAATTTGAGGTATACAAGAGGGGTATGGCATGGGGAGATAGGAACAACTTCTATGTCCTAAAATGAGCAAATTGTGAATGACTAGGATGATAGAATAGAGGATATGATTCGTGATATTGGGATGACGTCATTTGTACAATCACATGCATATGACAACTTGTGTAGTGATGCAGAGAAACCCTTATACCCAGGGTGTATTAATTTTACGCTCTTAACAGCTGTGTTGGGATTGGTGAATTTAAAGTCAAGAAGTGGGTGGACCGATTCGAGTTTTACAGAGTTACTTGAATTCTTGAGTAAAATGCTTCTAGCTCATAATTTACTTCCAAAACATATATATGAGGCAAAGAAAATCCTGTGTCCAATGGGTATGGATTATAGGAGGATACATGCTTGTCTTAATGACTGCATACTATATAAAAATGAGTATGAAGGGCTACACAAGTGTCCCAAATGTGGGACTTTGCAGTACAAAGTAAAGAAGACTGATGATATTGATCATGGTGATGAGATCATAACTAAAGGGCTTCCTGCAAAGGTGATGTGGTATCTTCCAATAATACCACAGTTTCAACGTTTGTTTGCTAATCCAATAGAAGCAAAGAATTTGAGATGGCATTTTGATGAGAAACTATCTGATAGGAAACTTCGACACCTAGCTGATTCTCCTCAATGGAAGACAATAGATCATATATTTCCTCAATTTGGAAGTGATTCGAGAAACCTTCGGCTTGGACTCTGTACGGATGGAATCAACCCATATGGCAATCTTAGTAGCACACACAGTGCATGCCTAGTTTTGTTATTTATTTACAACCTACTTCCTTGGTTGTGCATGAAATGTAAGTACATAATGTTGTCTTTGATGATTTCAGGACCAAAACAGCCAGGAAACAATATTGATATTTTCTTGGCCCCTTTGATTGAGGATTTAAAAATGCTATGGGAGGAAGGTGTAGATGTATTTGATGCTTATAAGCAAGAGCACTTTAAGTTGCGTGTCATGATTTTTACAATAATAAATGAATTTCCTGCATATGAAAACTTATCAGGATATAGTGTTAAAGGCCATAATGCATGTCCTATATGTGAAGAAGACACACACTACCACCAACTTAAGCATGGAAGAAAAATAGCCTACCTTGGTCATCGAAGATTTCTTGATCGGTATCATCCTTATTGTAGGTTGAAGAAGGCCTTTAATGGCTCACAGGAGTATGAAATGGCTCCAAAGGCCTTAACTGGAGACCAAGTTTATCAGCGTGTGGAAGGAATCAATGTCATTTTCGGTAAGAATAAAAGAAATGTAAGTAAGAAGAATCTATGAAAAAAGAGGTCCATTTTTTTTTATCTTCCATATTGGCGGAGTTTAGATGTGAGGCATAGTCTTGACATGATGCATGCGAAGAAAAATGTATGTGATAGTCTTATTGGTATGCTTTTACACATAAGTGGCAAGACTAAAGATGGAATAAATGCTAGACTTGATTTAGCTGAAATGGGAATAAGAAAACGCTTACATGCACAACAAAAAGAGGGGAAGAAAGCTTATTTACCCCCAACAGCACACATATTATCTAAAGAGGAGAAAAGAAGTTTATGCAGATGTTTGCATGCTATTAAAGTGCCACAAGGGTATTCTTCTAATGTTAGAAAACTTGTTTCGATAAGTGATTTGAAGTTATTAGGCATGAAGTCTCATGACTGCCATGTGTTGATGCAGCAACTTTTACTAGTGGCTATTCGAGGGATTATGAAAGATGATGTGAGACACACGATAACTAGATTGTGTATGTTCTTTAATGCTATATGCAGCAAAGTTATAGATCCTGACAAGTTGGATGAATTAGAAAATGAGGGTTATATTACTTTATGTCAATTAGAAATGCACTTTGCTCCAGTATTTTTTGACATTATGGTGCATTTAATACTTCATTTGGTTAGAGAAGTAAGACTTTGCAGTCCTGTTTATCTTAGATGGATGTACCCATTCGAGCGATACATGAAAATCCTAAAAAGGTATTCTAAAAACCCATACAGGCCTCAAGCATCAATTGTTGAAAGATCTGTGGCAGAAGAGGCTGTTGAATTTTGTACTACATATCTAAAAGGATTGAAGGCTGTTGGGGTCTCTCAAACTCAGCATGAGGGGATAAGACTTGCTGGTAAGGGAACACGGGGGGTCAGAGTGAAATGTATGTCTCATGAAGAAGTCTTGCAAGCACATTTGTACATCTTGAATAACATGAAAGAAGTTCAACCTTATTTAGATGCTCATAAAAAGTTGTTGAAAGACAAATACCCAAGAAAGAATGAAATGCAACTGGCTAATGAGCACAACAAGACTTTTAAAAAATGGTTCAAGGAAAAAGTTACGAATGAGACTAGTATGTCCGATACAATAATGTGGTTAGCTGAGGGACCTCATTTTGAGATCGTGTGTTGGGATGGGTACGATATAAATGGATATTCTTTCTATACAAAAGCCCAAGATGATAAAAGTACCATGCAAAATAGTAGGGTAATGGTAAAAGCGAAAACCCAGCATTTTTCTAGTTTAAAAGATAATAACCCATTATTGGCTCGCACCGACTATTATGGAGTGGTTGATGAGATATGGGAGGTGAATTACACTAAATTCAAAATACCTATTTTCAAATGCAGGTGGGTTCACTTTAATGCTATTGAAGTAGATAAGGAATTTGGGTTTATTTCAGTTGATCTCAAGAGGCTTAGTTTTAAAGAGGAGCCCTTCATTTTAGCAAGTCAGGAAAAACAAGTTTTTTACGTCATTGATCCAGCGAATAAACAGCGTTCTATTGTACTACTAGGCAAAAAACAAATTATTGATGTAGAGGATGATGACTCAACTTTTAACCTTGATGAAACCCTGCCTTTCACTATAAATCTACCTAGATCAACTGAAGTAGATTTGGTTGATGATGAATATGCAATTAGAGATGATCATTGTGAAGGAATTTGGGAGAATGAATAAAGTAAGAATTACTTAATAAAATATTGAATTAATTGATTCTTTATATTCATATATTTGTTTCATTTATTTATTTCTATATATTTAATTATAATGCAAGTTACTTACTTGTATTATTTTCTAATCTTAATAGGCACATGGATGGTTCTAATGAAGATGTAGTTGACACATCCAACGTAACTTACAAGAAAAGAGGTAGAAGAAGTACTAAATTGAAGTAGCTGGCACTACGTCAGGGCACTATAGAGAGAGTGCATTTAGAGTTTAGTGGTGGTAAAAGACCACTTGGTCTAGAAGGGGACAAGTTTGTAAGTTACATAGGCCTCATAGCTCGGAGTAAAGTTGGGATCTTGTATCATAATTGGCAAGAAGTACCAGAAGCTACGAAGGACATGATTTGGAGTGATATTTTGGTATGCATATCTTTCTATTTTTTTTATTGTTTTAATTATATTAGATACCATTATCTTACTTTATAATTATGACATATTGTAGCTTACTTATGATATCCCTCCTACCAATGAGATGAAGAGGTACTGGCTTCAGCAAGTTTATGATCGGTGGAAAGATTTCAAGTCATCACTTTCTAAGGAATACATTTGAGGAGCAAAGAAGAAGAACAATCCATGTTTGGAATATAATTTCATTGATGAAGACACTTGGAGAGAATTTGTGAGGTCATGAGATGATCCTAAATTTTAGGTAAATTTTGATATAATTAATAACTTGGTTTATTTTTGTTTAGTTTTTACAACTAACTTTATTTTTATTTTATTATAGGAATTAAGTACTGCAAATAAAGAGAGACAATCTAAAAATAAATATCAGCATTACTTGTCTCGGGGGGGATATAGGAAGCTGGACCAGAAACTTAGGGAAGTTGATTTGAAGCAATTAGAGGAAGCTACGAGATCTGACCCCAATATTATTGTTCATCCCCTAGCTCCTCCAACTTGGCAGAGGAAATGAAAAGAAGCCAAAATCAAGAAAGGCCAATATATTACTCCGGAGGCCGCTGAAGTTGCTCAACGGATTGTAAGTAATTATACTAACTAGATTTAATTTTAGATTTCATATCTTTTAAGATAAATTCATTAATTAAATATTGCAGGATTCACTTGAGGAACAAGCTTCCCAAGAATCATTTCAATCCACTGGAAGAATGGATATCTTGGAATCAGCAATTGGAATGCCAGATTATTCTGGTCGTGTTAGGGGGTAGGAAAAGGAGTTGGTCTGAAGGAGTATTTCGGACCAATTTCACGAGGCTCATCAAGAGTTGTATCAAGAGCCAAGTTTGATGACCTTCTGGCAAATGTTAGAGACGAATGTGCTTGAAAGTATGAGTAGGATAATTTGCTACTCCGTGAGCAGATTCTTCAGTCTATGGTCACCAATATGGGGACCACACAAGATAGTGGATAGGGAATTGGGCAGCAGGAACTCCAAGTTTTCATTATCTTTAATTAGTTTAATTATTCAATTTTGTTTATTTTATTTTATTTTCTTTCATTGTGTTTACTTATTTTCCAGACTTCTCCTGTGCTTCAAAGTACTAAGGATAGCTTTAATCCACCAAAGATGGCACTACATGCCTCTAGTCCCTTAATAGAAGAGGAACAAGTTTGTTTTCTTTATTTAGATAATCCTTGGAAGAGGATTGTTGGTTTAGCACGGCTATATATGCTCACAGAAACAATTCATAACATGAGTATTTTGGATGATCAAGTAAAAGTGACGGTTGAGGTTGTTCTTGAGCCAAACGTGAATGTGCCATTCCCTATTGATGAGGTTGAAAAATTAGGTGAAGCATTGGGACAATTTATTTTATGGCATAAAAGACTTGTTGACACAGAGATGACAATTCCAATGGTAGAAAAACTCTTCATTATTCTTTGATTCTCTCTTTTAATTACTTATATAACTTTTATTCATTTCATATTTTATTAGGATGTTGATGAGGGTAAGGACTGTTCTTCTCTATTACAATTACATGAATTTTTTAAGGCAATGACAAAGCCTATCAATTTGACAATGCCTAAATGAATTGTGGGTATAGACAAGTCATATCCTTTTGTAATGGACAAGAAAGACATCTTGGAATTCTTGTTTCTGAGGGAGTTGGATATCTTATAGGCTATGCTATCTATCTTGTAATTTTATTACCTCTATTCTATCTCATTTATATTTATTTTAATTTATATGCAATAATTTTTGTGTCATTCTATTAATACGTTTCTTAGTAGTTTTTGTACTGGACCACGGAAAGATCAATTTGGATTTTTGTGTCCAGCTTCTTTGACATCGGCCTACAATGATATCAGTGATAGGATGAGATATGTGGGCAATACTATTTCAGAAACAAAATTGCCCTGTTATCTGGCTCCAATTCTTGAAGGGTAAGTTCTTTTATATTCATTTATATATATATTTATTTTGATAATCTTTTTTATGCTTTCATGTATTGATTTCTTTTGTCTTTTTGTAGTTACCATTAGTCCCTTTGTGTTATATGCCCGTATTTGCATGAGATCTATTGGTTTTGTTCCATAGGCGAGCAACCGAGTGCTGAAACTAAAAATATATTCAACACGTAAGTTAAGATTATTTTTATAAATGTTAGATATTTATTTTGTTTTAATACTTTATACTTTATTTAAATATCATGATAGAGCATTGAAGATATATTATATGACTCGGGGAAAGTGACGCCCAACAAAAAATACATCTCAAAAAAATCCCTCATCGACTTGGATTTTTCCAAACATAAGTAATTTCAATTAAATACTTTTTATTCACAACTTTTTTATATATATTTTTGTTTATACTTATTATCTGATTCTTAACTTTCAATGCCATTGCCAGATAGGGAGTACAGAGTGTGGATATTATATTATTCGTTATATGTATGAGATTATTCAATCGGAAACTAACGAAAATTTACACATGGTAAGTTACATTATTATTTATTTTAATAATATTAGTTTCGCAAGGCTTTAGAATTTGGATATCTAATGAACATTCGATAAAAATTTGCAACTTTTTAACAGTGGGTACCCCTATACCAGTGAAGACATAACTGACATTCGAAACAATTTAGCAAGTTATCTTTTTCAAGAGCTATTTACATAGTGTGATTTTATAGTTTATTTATATAGTTAGATAGAAGGATATAAACCCTAATGTGTTCAAGTAGTTTGTTAAAATTTGGCTGTAAATATTGACACTTGAATGGGTAACAATAGTTTTGTCGTTCCAATGCACTTGGTATATTTTATTGTGATAGTTTATTAATAGCTGTAAATGAGTTGCTATTTACTGAACTTTTGTTGTATGAATTTGGCTATTTCTATGGCATACTTTCACAGATTCTATTTTGGTTATCAAGAAAATACAAATTGTATATAAAAAAATTACAAAAACCACATCACATTATTAAAAGGAGGGACGTAGCAAGATGTGTGCTCAGAAAAAACCACATCCCCTATTATAGAGGGGGACGTGGTTTCTCAAAGAAACCACTTCCCACTCATGAATGAGGGACGTGGTTTCTCCTAGAAACCACATCCGTCTTACTTGGGGGGGATGTGGTTTCTCTGACAACATGAGTAGCCACGTCCCCCTTATTTGGGGGGACGTGGTTTGTATGGAAATCACATCTCTTTCTAGTAAAATAGAAACGTGAATTATGTAGAAACGACCTCTCTTAATATTAAAAGGGACGTGGTTTATTATTTTTCATGTCTCCATTATTTGTGACGTGGATGAGCCATTATTTTAAGTCACCCAGTATGATGTCCCCTACAGTTGTGATGTGAAAAGGCCTAAAAATGCGACGTGAAAAGTCTATTTTGTAGTAGTGTTCGTGCTATCAACCTTGCATATAAGGGTGTTATTATTATCTTTTAATTCATCATATACTTATCTAACTAATGTTTACTTTATCGTTCATAGAGCTATCAATTAGGGTTGAGCCTGTCAGGCCAGCTCTTTTAACCTCAAAAATAACTAGGGTCGGGCCTCTACTTTGGAAGGAAAAATGGTAATTCAGTCTTAAAAAGGCTAGCATTTTTAAGACTCCTTTTTAAGACTTGAAAATAAAAGGGGTAGCCTTTTAGGGCTAGGGTCGGCCCTTTTAAGCTCTTTTATTATTTTTTAAATTGTAATATAAAAATAAAAGATTAAATATATAACTAAAATAAATGAATATATTAGACTCATTCGTCCCTCCTTCATTCATTCATTAAGATTTAGCTAATAATGTTAGCCAAATCTAATTTTTATTGGTATTAATTTTAATGTTGCTATTTGATATTAAACCTGAATGTTTAAGTCTTCTTTATTTGTTGTGATATAAATTGATTTAAATTTATTTTCTTAAACTTAATTTTTTGTATAATAACTTTTTTAGGATTATGAATATATTTTTTTAGAATTTTAAATTCAAAAAAGTAAAAAAAAGAAAGAAAATAAGGCCAAGGCCCTAAGAGCCAGCCCTTCAGCCCTAAGAGCTAGGGTTGGGCCTTGTAAAAGAGAGCCTTGAAGCATAATCAGGCTTATTAGGGCTAGTTCGTTTAGACCCTGGCCCTTTAAGGGTCAAGTTGGCCCTAATTAACAGCTCTAATCATTCATTTGTTTGTTACAAGTCTATATTAATGTTTCATTTCATTGCATAGGTTTCATGTTTTTCATGCTATTAACCCTATAAGTCGAGGGTGACATAGCATGGTTTAAGTGATTCATATTTGATACTAACTTGAGTCTTTGTGACTATGGTCTAACACAAAAAGGTAACAATTTTATTTGTCTATATTAGTTACTCCTTTTTTTATAGGGTGATCAAATTTTTACAATTTATAAGGCAATCTAGTTGTTCTAGGTCATTGCCATAAATCTTTCTTGGCTTCTCCAATTTTGAAGTAACTTCTCTAATGTTTTCAAGGTGTTTTTTTTATTTTTGTGATTCTCTACTTCGAAAGTCAGGTTTGGTTATTAGTTTATTG